GCGTCTGCCTGTCCCGCCTCGACATCAGCGTCTGCAACCGGTTCAGCGCCGTTTGCCTGTTCCTCCTCTTCTTCTGTCCTCTCTTCCGCATCCGCAGCCCTCAGCTGCCTTCGTCTGGCCTTCTTGGCACGTTTTGTCAGCTTAACGTCTGGCTTCGCCTCTGGCTCCGGTTCAGAATCCTCCAGGGTGATGCCCGCGGCCGTCAGCTCGTCGGCCACAGCACTGTCCGCATTGGCGTCTGCCTCCAGCAGTAGGGCACGCAGGATGGCCACTTGCTTCTTGTGCTTCTTGGAGGCCTCGTGGTTGCGTTTTGCAGCCAAACTGGCGAAGGTTTTGTCACAGGCAATGCACTGCAGGGCGTCGTCATCTTCATCTTCATCCTCCTCTTCTTCCTCCTGGTCAGAATCCTCCTCCTCCTCTCCTCCTGTTACCGTTGACTGATCAGCATCTGGGCTAGGCTGCAAGAGGCGAAAGGGGAACGTATACCGCCAGTCTTGTCGAAAACGTTCATGCAATAGACACCCCTTAAAATATTGAATCGTGTTACGCGGAAAAGCCGCCGAGCTTCGTATTCGCTATCTGTGGCATACAAGCCCCATTATGTGTGATACTACGGGCTACTCGATGCAGGAAACACATGCGAGGACATTATTTGATGGGATGAACTTAAAATTGGAGGAAGCGGCGATTCGCGAAAATTATAAGTGGTGATGGGCGTCCAAAATTGGTGGTCCTGTCTGAAATGCGACCAAATGTTATGTTATCGGACAAGTGTAAAAGTGAAAGAGAACGTTCGCGTTCCAGGTATTTGTATCGGTAAAGAAGACAGATGTGGGAACACTGGAACTATTTGTATTTTACATACGATCACAGCCAGACGTCCGTCATAATTAATTGGCCCACACTTCCTCCATAATCGCCCCATTTTCGGTGCCGACCTGGCCATTAGGCGTCCAAACCTAACAGTTATCGATTTTTTACACGTTCAAATTTTAACTGTTTGTTCACAGGCTATAACCAGCCACTATTTTGCTGCTGCTTCCCAGCTCTGACGATGGACACCGGTAACAGTCCGAAAACTCAGAATTCAATACAAATTTAAAGAAAGAGGAGCGTTCACCGGGAGAGATTTATTACAAGCCTGACGTTTCGGGTAGTTGTCTCGGCTACCCATCTTCAGAAGACTACCCGAAAAGTCAGGCTTGTAATAAACCGCTCCCGGTGAACGCTCCTCTTTCTTCCGATCTACCAGCCGGGAATCGAATTTTCAGCACTATTTCTGCAAAATACATATTGTTCCAGTTTTCGATCATCTGTCTTCTTTACCGAAGTGTAAAAATGAAATATTTGTCATAGT